ATAACCATGCACTCCTTTTTCAAAGCCCTCTTATTCCTTTGTTCCGGCTCATTCATCCACAATCTAAATAACGAGCAAGATCTTCGAATAATGGGCAACCTACTAAAAACTGCACCTATAACCTCATCATTCACCACCATCGCCAGCCTCTCATTAATAGGCATACCCTTCCTTTCGGGTTTTTACTCAAAAGACACCATCATCGAAACCATAACCAACTCCCACGTAAACCTATGAGCCCTAACAATCACATTAATCGCTACAATCCTCTCTGCCTCCTACAGTATACAAATTATCCTGCTTATTCTAACAGGGCCATCACACATCAATATTAACTCCCACAAAGAAGTCAAAAACACTATCCCCCCACTGATACGTCTCACCCTTGCCTCCATCCTCATTGGCAGCATTACTAAACTATCAACCCTACAAACCCCGCCTATAATAACAATACCAAAGACAGTAAAACTCATAGCATTAATTATAACAATACTAGGAATCGCCATATCAAAAGACTTCCTGCAAACAACCTTACCCCGCCCCCCTCAAAAATCATCAACTATTAATCTATTCTTTAATCAACTAGCATTCTTCAATATTCCGCACCGAACCATAACAATAAGTATACTAAAATCAAGCCAACAAATCTCAACAGAACTCATAGACCTGTGGGCCCTAGAATACTGAGGCCCTAAGGGCCTCAGTAAAACATTCACCCAACTAGCCCTCCTCTCAACACAACAAAAGAACATAATCAAAAACTACATAACTACGTTCACCCTCACCCTACTTATCTCACTAATCCTAATCCCCGCCTAAAAGGGCGGAGGCCACCTAACCGGGTCCAACCTAAAACCACCAAAACAGAAAACAAGGCCACAACCAAACCCCAAGCACACACCACTAACCCTACCCCGCCCCCACAATAAAAAACACCATAACCATTTACCTCTAAACACACCCAATCCTCTCACCCCGAATAAACCAATAAACCTTGCCCGCCACCTCCAAGAGCTAATACTAAAATACACACTACCCCCGCTACACCCAAAAACACAACAAAATATCAAAACCCACTAACACCAACAACCACCTCACCCTTTTCCACACTCACACAATAACCAAAAACCACAACTAACCCCCCCAAATACACAATATACATCACCAATGCCGCATAA